ATTTGTACAGAATTGGAGACCCTAATCTGCAGAGTATTTAGTTTATTCATAAACTGGACACTTTTTAACAGTAAAGAAATTATAAATACTCACATGTCACTGGAATTCGACCATAAATAGTAAAATAACAATCCGGTAATATAATTGGTTGTATGAAGCTTAACTGAAAAGCAACGGTATGAGGGGGCGTGTGTGCGGCGATTGCAGATATCAACCAGCGTTTCAATGTTCAACTTTGATAATATTTCAAGGCTACTGACCTACTGGGCTGAAGTGTGTCATGTTTAATCTACCATGTCCTTGACCGTATCAAGTTTTTATAAGGAGTAGAAAATTATAGAGAAGAGAAAAAGTTGGTAAGAAACAACAATTAGTTTATGTTAGCTTTACAAAATCGATCACAATAAACAAACAAAGGACGTTGCGGCGATTAGCCTTCATCAGCACATAAAGGACAACACAGTACACATACACAAATAGGCTCTAACTATGAAGTGACTACATAGGACTCTAATGTATAGAATAAATTATACTCATCTAGTGTCCCTGGCGAAAAAACTTCATTCAATGAAACGACGGTCAGCCTATATACCTCCAACGCGCAGGTAGGGGCAAAAAAAGGGACGGGTTGGACGCCAACAGCGTACACTGAGTGTCTAAGGAGGGAGGGGTTGGCCTATAGGGCGTAACCGGGGTTGGGTACAACTTTGCAGGGCGGTGTATGACAAGGACAATGGAGGGAGAGACTTGAGCCCGAATGGCAATTTGAAATCGTCACGAAGTGTGTATGCTTAGTTTTTATGGTTTGCCTCCCATCAGGAAAAAAAAAAAAATTTAATAATTGAGTATTCCACATTTACACACAATTCAAGATGCACATGTGGAAAGCGGCGCTAGGACTGCACCGCATTTAACGCAATAAGGCAAACCCTTTGGCTGGAAAGAATAAAGTGGAACGTAAACTCCATGGATCACTGATCGAACTAAAAACGACAGTAAAATGTATACGAGACAAAATTGCTGATACAGACAACTTACTTCAGGATAACGAAAGAAGAATGGTATATTCAGAGGCATGAGAAGTAAAGGACCATTTTCTGTGCATTTAGATGTATTGGGCACATAGGGCTGGACCTATACTTTATACACCAACCGACACTTGGTGGGTGATGTGGTCAGCATCACGCCGGCCGCTTTTGCTTCCCATGACCACACATGTTAATCACTCATGGCTAAATTGACCTGGAAGTCAATGTCATTTTTTTAAAACGCCCGGCTCCGTCACGACCCGAACTCACGTCCTTCCGGTGCGCAGGCGAGCGTCTGCGTGAAAAAAAAAAGTGAAAGGATTCGTTTTCACGCCAGCAGGGTATTAGCCGTTTAACGAAACACTCGTGTTTTTACACAGATCAGTTCGGCAGGCTGTCGGGTTCAGACATCTTTCGAAAGTACAGGATGGTGCCCTGAAACCAGTACCGTTGCACTTCAGTTCTCATGATCACCAAGGTGTCCACGACATGGAGGTGACGGCCGATATATCAAGGCACTCCAGCGACAGTCACAAAGTCTCTTTATTTTCGCCTTAGGGTTCCAAACAACCAGGGGAATGAACTGTCAACACAGTTTCACCTAAAATTCTCGAGTTGCGGCCCTTTTCCTTTCCAGGCTATTTAGTCTTAGACCATATGTGTCTATTCCACTGGCTAGACATCAACGTGGCTGCTTCGAATATGTCAGTTAAGTTTTGTTTGATTTATGTATGTGCTGATGAAGGCTCTGTAGCCGTGACGTTCGCTGATAAGGGGGCTGCGTGTTCGAGGCATAGTGTCTGCCTTGAGTGCTAGAGGTCCTGGTGAGGTTTTGGAGTTTTTTTTTTTTTCTTGGACGTGATTTCCTTTGGCCTCTAGGAAGTTATATTGGACACCTGTATGTACTGTTGCGCACGTACAAAAAATCTCTTGGCAGTTGGGGGAAAAAAAAAACTGCAAAATTGTGAGTAAAAAACCCCCTTTCCTTACTATCCATCTAGTTCTAGAACTATAATTTTTAAGAATTTCCTCATCAGTCGAACCCACACTGACTCTAACATGAACTCCTCAGAGTCTGAATCAACCCAAAGTAATGATCACCTGTTGGACTGTGAAAAGCCTAGACCTACTTCACTTTCCTGTCGAAATGCTTGGTTCATCAGACGCTCGTTTCATTGTGAATTTCCATAATTGTTTCACGTTAAACCATACAAAGTAATGCAATAACAATCACGAGGTTTGATCAAGATTGGTTGGTTATTTTTAGTTTGTGACCCGTTTTATCACATAGTACGCAATGTACCGAAAATTAGGTACATGGGTTTAGCGGCAGATTATGAAACTACTTTTCGCTGTCTGGTAAAGTTAATAGCAATATTGACAGATGACAAGACAATAACAGCACGGTTACTTAACTTGTAACACACTCTTTTTAAGGTTTTCAATTAAAGCCCCTGAGTATTACCATTTTCAGAAATTTGAACAAATAGAACGACACAAAAGAACAAATAACTAACACATCAACACTTCCATTTAACAGCCAAGTTTATTAACCACAAAATGGCAACTGCTGACAAACATCATAAGAAAAATAATCATAATATATTTACATATGCATATGCATCTAACTAGAACAAGTCCTTATCCTGCAGCTCAGGATAGGACACAACAGATCATGCGGCCACATTTATACATAATTATAAATTGGCGTATCAGTTAAAGGTAAATTTGCCTCAAAGAACAGAACTCCTATTCAAAGACCATCGAATCTGACACAGTAAAGCAAACTTTTGGCCAAAAATTACAGTAGTGGAAAGTAAAATCTACGGACTACTGAATGAACTTGAAAAAACAAAAAACTAATATATTTTATATGAGAAATGCCACATTATTTGAGGTGCACCAAAGAAGAATAATGTAATACTGGTATTAGAATCAGGTGACAGAGACACCATCTTCCTGTGCAGAAAAAGCTCAAGGCACTGAAGCAGGCAGGAGTATTGAGATGCTACATCTTTAGGACCAAGTGGAAAGTGAAAGAGATGTGCACCATTACAATGATTGACAGAGGGAACTTCAAGTAATGGGGCCGCCCATATATGAAGAACCCAGTTCAAATGTCATCTTAACAACACAAGCCACAAAATAAGATTAACTAGAAGTTATTTACTTATAAAAAAAAAAATTTCAGCATAACAAACAATCTTCCCTGACGTAAGAACATCAGAATTGTAAAGTTATCCTGGTAAGTTATGTGACTATTACGAACCTCCTGCAGTTAAATGAACAATGTATAGACAGACAGACTATGTCTAATTCAGTAGAAGTTATTAGGTTTTTGTTGCTCACTGCATGCCGATTAAGAAGTCACCTCATGAGACAACAAAATATACCTGACAATTAACTGTTTGTTTTTGCATTATTTAAATTCACAATGAGAAACTACTGTTTTCAAAAACATGTATGTATCATATACAGCCTATATGGGAGCAAAGAACATTAACAACTGTCATCTTTACATCAGTGGTCTCTAAGCAGTACGTCGGGGAGACGAGACTCCAAAAAATTTTGAAACTGAGTGCATGTGTACTTATAATCCAGATTTTTTACTTCAAACAGTCATGAAAAACTAAAGTGTATCCATCTCGTTGAGAAGGATGGTCTCCCTTGTGCCTTGCCTAACATCTAATACAAAAATAGCCAACCATCACATTGAGAATTTGCCACTAAACTGACAAAGTTTTGGTTTTTGTTCCTTTTGTTATTCGACAGTCTGCTTTATGTGAGTTCTTGTTAACAGCACCTAAGTTTTTTTTTTCATTTTGTCTTCTTTTTAAATCACATTCTGCTATGTTGGGTGAAAGGGGAGAGGAGAGCACCTGTTTATGGCTGCGGACCACTGTCCTATATAAATACACTCCGACTGATGTAAACATTACAACTGCTCCAAATATAATTTCTTGGGCGACTGAATGAAATATCTGTGATCTGCCCTGCTGGCTCGTCAGCCAAAGTGAGATTTGTCTTACATCAGGCCAGTCACATCTAGAGGTAGGAGTCAGGAGGTGAAAAACAAAAGGAATGAAACGAACACGGCAGTCTACAATGCATGTCGTTAATTGAGACTTAAGGTTTTTTTTTATATGAGACTGGCTTCCTTGTATGGAGGAAAAGAACAGCTTGTGAAAACATGCAAATTCCACTACATGGCATTGGGCCAAAGCTCATGAGACTGGCTACAGGCAATTTAGCTTTAACAATTTAACCAACCGAAAGTGATGATGTGGGATTAGCTAAAGACAAAAACAATGGAAATGCGAGCAGTCAACCAATCATAAAGAAGATTACAACAGACTGTGAGTTGAGGGGCCAAGCTTTACTGGGAGAGAAACAGCAGAAGAACAACAGAGACAACAAAAAATCAAAATCACAAACCAGTAATGTCATATTAAGAAGATTTGAAGAAAAAAGTAGGGCCTTAAATAGTTAATGTTTCAACATCTCAAAACAGTAATAAAATATGAATGAAATATAACAAATGACATAATGGAAAGGTTACCCCTGCAAGAACGCAATAACATCAAATTGTTATTGCTTGCATAACAAATTAATTCTTTTATTCATTCATCTCTTTCACCAATTTCATTCATAAGCTAACTTTTATTAATTCTTTTCACCTGCATTCTTTTATTCATTCCTTTCCTTTATTTGTCTTATCATTCCCAATCTCTCCTCTACTTGACTGCTTTTGTATCCATAAAATATGACATACTGTGTATATCTCAATTTTCAGACTCAATTTAACTTTCAAAAATCATAAAAACAGCTAAAAAAAAAGAAACCAGTTTAATTACTATTTTAACAAAGCAATATTTTCAACTGATTTAACGATCATTCATAATCTAGGGGCACATTCAAACCTGTTCATTCAGAAGCAGCTCACAGTCAAACACCACTCAAACATGGCAGCAACTATTTGGCATCACTTTTCTCCAGAGGTGCATAATTCAAAAGTTTCTCTATCAAATCAACGTGTGACAGGAGCATACGGCGGCAGCAGTAGCGCTTCAGTCCAAGGGCGTCCAGAGCATCACTGAAATGTTGATAGAGTGGACATGTTTACATCAACAACATGCAACATCAAGGCAGACAAATATTAAACACTTCTTCTGTGCGAGACTCATTTCTGGCCCTGTCAACATTGGCACAGGCTCAGGTAAATAACAGTTCCAGAATTGAGGTCACCTTATAGTTCCTCAGCTCATGTGCTGACTAAAACCACACACTGCTTGTCTCAATCATCTGGTACCTTGCAGTGCCGATGTGAAGTATAATTTACGAAAAAGTGCATGTCCGTGCGCTTCATAAATAGCAACTCCTGTGGACTCTGTTGTTTCCTCTGTCCATAATTTGCATGGTCGGTCTCTTCTTCGCTTCCCACCTGGTCTGTACATAATAGCTTGCTGTGGGTAAACTGTTTGTAGGCATCCGTGTTATATGGCCAAACCATTTCCCTTATTGTCTTCTAATGAAATCACACAACTGCTGCTACCCCCCTTCTCATTTGGATCTGATCATTTCTAACCTTATCTCTTCTTCTTATCATAAGAAACCTTTGTAGGGATCATATCCCAGCTGCAAATGTTCCTGCTTTCTTTTGCTGTCATTGGTAGCACAGGGTTAGCAAGAAGACTGTCACAGCATGTTCTTTTTCGTTTCTACTGACATGTGTTTACCCAATGAGTTGGTTTGCAATTCTTTCTGTTGCTTCAAGGGGTGAAAAGTAATTTCCCTCTCGGCTTGCTGGGCCAGGCACTGATTCATCATCATCCTTTTTGTGCCATTGGACGCCACATAGGGCTCGTATTCGATTCCTCTACTCCGCTCCATATCATGCAATTCTCTCGACTTCTGACATGGAGTTCAGACCAGCATTTGTAGCCTCTCGTAATAATGTACTTCACCATGTTTCTCTTGGACGTACTCTTTTTCTTGGACCGTTTGTTTCCCATTTCAGTGCTCGTTTTGTAATTCTTTGCTTATGTCATCTCAGAGTGTGCCCAAAACAAGACTGAAACAATGAAGACTGGTTCATAAATATAATCAAACCGAAACTAAAACACACAAGAAATGCCCTGATAAATGCAGGGGCAGCATGGATCATGGATACAAGTGATGGGATGCATGGATATAACAGTGATGGGATACAGGGTTGCAACAGTGATGGGATACAGGGTTGCAACATTGATACGAATGCAACAGTGATGGGATACAGGGTTGCAACAGTGATGGGATACAGGGTTGCAACATTGATGAGATATACGAATGCAACAGTGATGAGATACACGGATTCAACAGTGATGAGATACACGGATACAACAGTGATGGGATACAGGGTTGCAACATTGATGAGATATACAAATGCAACAGTGATGAGATACACGGATACAACAGTGATGGGATACAGGGTTGCAACAGTAATGAGATACACGGATGCAACAGTTATGAGATACACAGATGCAACAGTGATGAGGGACACAAATGCAAAAGTGATGGGATACACGGACGCAACGGTGATGGGATATACGGACGCAACGGTGATGGGATACACGGACGCAACGGTGATGGGATACATGGATGCAAAGGTGATGCAACAGTGATGAGATACACGGATGCAACAGTGATGGGATACATGGATGCAACACTGATGGGATACACGGATACAACAGTAATGGGATGCAGGGTTCAAGGAAACAAGTGGAGCTAATCCAGACCAAAGGCGGAGAAATGACAAATAATTCAAGAGATTTCCAGGCATCAATGGTCAGAGGATGTTCAGCAAAGGACCAGTCACACAATGATTACCTCAGGATAAATAGACTCAACCAGAGCTTATCTCACACACTTTTTATCGACCAGTCAAGCCTAGCAAGAATGTATTGTGAGCAATGATAACATGTAATCGGAACAATTAAAGGCAACAATACAGATGTAATCAAGGCAACATGAGCTGGCTCTGTTGAGAAACTCACCCCTCTGTGTATTCTACTTGCAAAAGTCCGATGTAAACCTCCCATTTGTTGCCGATAACCTTACCACACGTGAAACATCTGATAGGAATAATCATGTTGTCAGATTTTCTTGTTTGTGACTCTCAGGAAAAACTGGTTCTGCTGGCAAAAACACAACTTGTAAAACTGCTTTCTGAAAAAGACATTACAAAGTGACAAAAGTAATATAGTGATCTACATGCAACTGTAAGGGAAATGACATGAAATTATTTGAATTGTTGAGTAATGTAGTACTAAGATTGTTAGCTGAAAATGGCAACCTTAGATCATCGTGACTGCTCTAACCTACTGGACTCATCTCAACAGTTAAATGACTTTGTATTTCTTTTTACATATAGTTGTTTTAGTCAGATGCTTTTTTTAAATTTTTTTTTTTTTATTAAACTTCATTTATGAAAGCTGGCATAGGCAATAAATCTTCTCAACATTAACTGATTGTAAACTGGCAGAAAGTTCTGGTCACTCGACAACAATTTTTTAAATTTTAGACTTTAGTATGGTTCCACTTGACTTGGGGTGCACATCAGATCGGTTTTAGTTTTTAGAGATGTCTTCTTCTTACTTCTGAGGCAGATGCATTCTGATTTTGAAGAAAACAAACCCTAATCAGTCACCTCTTAACGCATGCTTGTTTAAGTTAGGCGGCAGTTCAGCGAGCACACCCCTCTTCGTCCAAAAATTTAATTGGATTGGGATCCCAAAACCTACACACAGGCGGATCAACAGTAAAAGTAAAATAAATTGAAAGGCTATCCTCCAAATAACGGGCACAAAGTATGGCAGCCGCAAAAACACCCTGACAGAGCCTCAGTCACATGTATATTGCGCACTTCCCGCGACTACCGCCACAAGTATCACCAATGCCGCTCATGCGGTGTGGAGTGGGGCTAAACTAGATAGCTGGGACTCACGAGCAGCAGCTTCCGCATATCCTGCAGCTTTGTTCGTGAGTCCCTGCATTCTAGTTTAGCCCCAATCCGCTCAACTGCACAGCTACAATTCCATGGTTATTTATTTAAATTTACAAACTGAAAGTAAATCAAAGAAAATGGACAAACAACTGAAAATAAACAAACAACTGGAACTGGTTGTATGATATAATTATTTTATTACTAAGAACGAGACTGCGCTGCTGACTTTGTTAAATAGTAGTGAACTTACTCAAATTGCGTCGTTACAACGCCCCCAACGCAATTAAATAATTCATTATTAAAAATAAATTTAAGGAAATGAAATGACAAGAGAACATTTTCATTTATGTAATGTAATACTACTAAAAGTGCCTGTAAGTATACTGCATATACATATTATATCTATTATAACCGGTTCAGATACAATTTAAAATTTAATCTATTATTTATAGTCATAAAATGATAATAAACAAGAAGCGGCAATGTTCGCTCATTCATAATTCATTTAATATCCAGTGGTGACAGGACATTTCTCAGCATTACATTACATGTTATATTTTTTCGAGTATTCAACAGCACTTTGCCTTAATCAAAGTTTGACAGTAACTTAATGAGCCTAGGGCTCGGATATTTATTTGTATACAGCAGAAAACCTGTAAACATCATCGCCTACCTGACAGAGAGAAAACTCGTCCCTAAAACAACATGGGCCAAACTTTCTCGTCTGTTCTGTTTTTCCTTTACCTACTATCTTCCTGGAGGCTGGTTGCACAGCTTTCAGCCAAAGTTAGATCTTTCCCGTCCATACAAGATATGAAAGCTTCTAAATAAATACAGCAGGAGTGACTGCTGATCTAATTATATTATTTTATATTCAATAGTTATTTATAAATAAACACAAAAAGCCTACTTTAAACTCGACATAAAGTGACATATGCATCTTAATAAAAAAAAATACAAAGCTAGATGGACGATGTACCTGGCATTCGGTCATTTCGTAGCTGAAAAGTTTCGATTAAAAAGTTTAGAAGATAAACTAAGAATGTGAATTTTGATTATGCTCTGTTATGCATAACAGGTTGTAACACGCATAGATATAGGTTCTGGATATTAGTAAACAAAATACAAATCTGTTGAGACCTCAGAGTTGTAGTTCTTCATAAATACGAATGGGTATAAAGTAAAACCTCATTAACACAAATTCTGAGACTGAATACATCAAGAGTTCGATTTTACAAAATTTGTGCTAACCATGGATGGTGGGTGTTTTTTATGGCCTTAGCCCCCTCGTTCTAGGCTTCTCGTGGCTGTATAGACATTGCTACATTCTGTTGAAGATCGCAGAATATGAATAGTTAGTTGGCACCGTTCAGTATATTCAAACGGTAGCATCCAGGGCCGGATTTAGACTTGATGAAGCCTATGCATTTTCAAACCATAAGGCCCTTATTGTTTAACATTACACCAGCTAATCTCAGAACACTTTAAAATATATACGCCATTTTATTAAATAAAGGTAAAGTTCCCTTTTCCACCCCTTCAGGTGTGTTGTGCATATAGGGCTATTGTTCTTCTTCTGCCTTTCTATCCCCCAATTGAGCATAAGCCCTCAACCAACTCACGCCAAGCCGTTCTATCCTTTGCAATCGCATGCAGATCTTCCCATTGTCCCCATCTTTATAACTTCATTCTCCAGCTCCCTTGTCCACGTTGGGGTGGGGGGGGGGGGTAGGGGTGGGGGGGGGGGCTTCCTTTATTCCAATGCCCCTGTGGGTTTCAATGCCAAGACATTCTAGTTATACTATTATCCGGTTTTCTCAATGTGTGTCCTATCTAGATAAGGCACATACAAAGCTATAGCTTTGTTTAAACGACCAGTTTATGGATAGTGGAAATATATTGTCGTGTAATATATATATATATATATATATATATATATATATATATATATATATATATATATATATATATTTTTTTTACTAGCTGTACCCGGCCACGCGTTGCTGTGGCATAGTTTGGCTAAATGGAAATGAAAGAAAATAGAAATCGCACGTGTCTAATACAATCATTGTCTGCTCAGATATAGAGATAGTCTTTGATCCCCACCCCACCCACCCCCACCCCCACAACTAAATCCACATACTACCCTCTCCCTCATCAAAGGTTTTTGTGAAGACCGCCGGTAAGGTTATGGCGTTCTTCTGTCGGCAAGTGAAATTACACATCCTAACCTGACCAGTCTGTGGCGACAGCACTAGCCATGCGGAACCAAATCTTCTGGCTCACGACTCTCTGTCTACTCCGATGGTAACACAGATAGCAGTGACATTATTTTAGTAGTTGTACTGGTACTTGAAGGATGATGTGGTAAATATTACACTAGCCCGATTCACTACCTTTTCAATTCCTGCTCCCCATTTTAGTCCAGATGGACAGGGATGTCAATGTCAGTTACAGCAACAACAAAATATCGCCAGGTAATGATTTTCAAATATTTCGAAGAGGGAGAGAGCAGCAGTCGGTGGAAGAGGAGAGGGGAGGGGTAATGACTTAAATTTAAGAGAACTTAAAGAGCTTTACACGTGATTTTCAAGTTCTCATTACCTAATTTGTTTATATTTTACTAACGCTACCTTCGCTTTTCTATTTTTTACGACTTACTTTGTTATTTACAAGTACAGTTGTAGCTTTGCTTAAGTCTCCTATAAAAATACAAACAGCTTTAGCATGAGATAACCAAATAACCACTTTTGTTACCGTGCTAATAGCACCATTTAGACGACCACTAATATAAAGACACAATTATATGGTGCGTGTTCTAAAGTTGGAAAACCAGACTATCTCTATATAAAAGTGCAGAGAATGATTGCGACATTAACTATATTAGACAGGTGCGATTTCCATTGTCTTTCTTTTCCAAAAACCTTTGATGAGGGAGAGGATAGTAGGTGGATTTAGTTATGGGGGTGGGGTGGAGATCAAAGACTATTTCTTATCTGAGCAGACAATGATTGTACTAGACACGTGCGATTTCTATTTTCTTTCATTTCCATTTAGCCAAACTATGCCACAGCAACGCGTGGCCGGGTACAGCTAGTATATAATAAAGAATATGTTTGCAAAATCTGGGAAATTCTATTGAATCTAAAAAGCTTTAAATTGTAACTTTAAACTTCTGTTCTTAATTTCTTACTTGGTGATGAATTGATGTATGACAAGCTAGATTTTGCGAGGACCCGTTGGGACGAGTGAACGGTGCTGACGCACAAACAGGTCATTATGGTCTGAGGAGAATGGCGCCGCCGGGAGTAACCGGGGATCTGGCCGACCCTCAACACTCAAGTGTAGGGCGAGACGGATATACAATCAGACTGTTACTGGTACCTTCGGAATTGGTACTTTTCTTTTGCTGCTAAAGATGGAACGGATCGTTTATGGGAGTGTCCCGAGTACTGTAATATCGATTCTGAATTCAGCAATCAATATTCTTACTGTCTCACGTGCACAATTATTGATTATCTCATCACAAAATGCTCTATGGGACTTCCGGTGTAAACAGCCACAATGGCGGCACGCTTTTTCGTCCGTTGAGGCGAATGGCGCAAATTAACTATTTTCGCTCACGTATAATGTGAAAGTTTCATCGGAATGGGGTCTGAACCGTGCAATGGAGTACATGCACGTGAGTTCAGACTTCCCTCAGGGTGTATTCAACGTCCGATGGCGACTATCTACCAATTCAAAACAACCCGTAGACGGACAAGGAGAACGCGAACAGGCAAGCACGGTGGCGCCTGCAGGAAGCGACTGAAATGTGAGAGACTCAGCTTAAAGTATGTTCGCGTTCTCTACTGGAACTGCGCCTCGTTCTGTCAACGCCGACCCATTTTCGAGAAGCTCCTCTACAGCAACGACATTGTTGTCCTACAGGAAACACACCTCGGTGACGAGATGGTTAAAATTGCGGGCTTCCAATCCTTCTACAATAGACGCCACCTCGGACAGCTCATTCTTGTTCGTGACCACATACTGGTGTCTGAGGTGGACATGTCTGAGTGGGAAAATGACGACCTACAAGTACACGCAATCAGAGTGATGGGCCCGGCCCAGTTTGTGATTGTCAATGTGTACGCCTGCAATGGAAAGGTGAATACAGCGAAATGGCAGAG